GAATCAAAGAAGTGCTCTAAGCACATTCATCTTGCAAACTAGCTGAGTGGACGGACCCAAGGCCCCTCACCCTTGGAGAATAGACTTTAGGGAAGACAGGCAAAGCTTCCTGAATCTACACAGGGAACTATTGCCAGCCAGACAAGCCCAGTGAGGCCCAGGGAGGGCATTCAGGAGGTCCGATGGAGACAAGGTAACTTTTTAAAGTAGCTCCATGCAAGCGTTGGACTTAATGAGACTCAGAAATGGGGCTGGCCTTTGGCCCTCAGGTTGTTTAGTGATTTGTTCATAAGTTTTTATTGCTTGATTTACTCCTAGGAGCTAACCTATAAAGATGGTGACATTATCCTTTCAAATTTCATTTAAAATTTGACTTTCTCCCACCTCCTTTAGACCATGTCTATATGGAAGGTAACTTTTGCATAAAAGGGAAAATAAACACTAGACTTAAAAACAGAAGTCCTGGGTCTGGGCACTGGTTCAGTCAGACACAGCAGAGAAAGATGTTCCGAACCTTTCTGGCAGGTTGAAATCACTGGCAGTCTCTCAGGTAATGTTAGAGGAAGTGAAAATTGGGAATCCTCCTGGGAGGGCAATTTGCAGATCATTATTTGCCAAGCACATATCCCTTTGACCCAGCAAGTCTTCTTCTAGGAATGGATATGCTTGCATATGTGCATAAAAACATGTACAGGAAAGATCATTGCCTCATTGTTTATATTAGCAAACTAATGGAACCAGTGGTTTACATAAATATGGCTTATTCATATGAATTATGCAGCTGCTAACAATAATGAAGATCTATGTGTACTGATAGAGAAATTGGAGTTGTATTGTTAAGTTAAAAAAGCAAGGTGCAAAAGAGCATATTGTATTTTACTGTGTGTGTGTGTGTGTGTGTGTGTGTGTGTAAGAACACACACTCAGAGACACACATTCTTATCTGGTTGTATTCATAGACTATTCTTGGAAAGGTTTACAAGTACTGATGGTCGTGACTTGCTCGAGACAAGACTAGGAGACATTGTGACTGTTTTTATCTACAGTTTATTGTTTGTTTGTTTTTTAAATCATGCATTTATGATATTTCTAAAAGAACAAACATCTACACTTTTTAGCACCATAGCACTACATCTATGATAGCACTGAGTCAGGGAAGGAGAAATGTCTAATACCATTACCTTTGGGCAAGTCACTTAATCTTGCTGAGTTTTTTCTTCACCTATAACATGATTATAATGATGTTCAGCCCTCAGGACTAAGTAAGGCCACTATGTGGACGTGCAAAAGCACATGAGTAGGGAGCACAGAAGATGTCTAACAAATGCTTGTTAGTCTCCCTTTTTGTCGCCCGACCATAGGTAGCAATAGCTGCACGTCATCCTTCATGGCTTGGGTTTTCTTTCTCAGGCCAGGAAAGTTGCTGTGCGTGCCACAGCTATTTAAGTCAACTGACCTTTCCTGCTAAGGCTACCTCTATCTTAGGGGATGGGGATGACTAAGGTTGCTGATGACATGTGTTGGGAGGTGGGGCAGGGGTGGGGCTGTGCCTTCGTCAGATCCATGTGACCTACTGGCTCTTATGCTCTGCAAATTTTTCTTGATAGAGATGCCTGCCATCCTGGCTGTAATCCCAGAGAAGATAGAAATAGCAGAGCTCATGGCTCCAACTTCCATCCTCTCTTTGGCCTGAAGTCTTTCTCCACTGTTGCCGGAGTTTTAATTTCCTTTATTGCCTTGGACACCTCAAGCCCCCTTCTGGGATGATGGAACTTTGTCAGAGCATCAGGATTGGGCTGGCATGCTTTCCAGAGGTCGTGGTGTAGAGAAACACGAGAACATTCCATTATCTCCTTAGGAGGCACAGTCAGACTGTCATTGTCCCTCCTGTTTCCTTCAAGCCAAGTGACCCCACCAAAGGAAGTCATGTGATTTAACCCCTCACCACAATCTCCATCAACTCTACTTGCCCCCAACCCCATCATATAATCTAAGGAAAAGCAGTGTGCTTGCTAACTCCAGAGAGTAAACCCTTTCCACACACACTGCTACAGCCTACTAGAAAACTCCTGGAGTTAAGCTGAACTTGCTCAAGGATGAACACCTGAAATAGTTTCCACGAATGCTGCTAATATGTAGGAAACGACTTATATAGTACAGAGTTCCTTTGAGCCTCATAGTTTTCATTTCTAAAAGGTTTCTACAAAGTGTTAATTTTATGTATCAACTAGGCTGGGCCATGGTGCCCAGGCACTTGATCAAACATTATTCTGGATGATCCTGTGAAGATGTTTTTGGATGCGATTAACATTTACATTGGTGGACTTGGAGTAAAGCAATTTACCCTTAATAATGGAGGTTGGCTTCATCCAATCTGTTGAAGGCCTTAATGAAACAGATTGACGTCCCTTGAACAAGACTCAACTTGCAGTTCTTCCCTGAATCTCCAGCTGCTGGCCTAACCCATCAGATTCTGGGCTCACCCAGCTTCCACAATCATGTGAGTCAATTCCCTAAAATAAAAGTCTCTCTCTCTATATATTTCTATCTATTTATATGACTTATATTTACAATTTTTCCCATGAGCAAACAAAACCTAATTAGTTTTTATCAACATCTTATCAGAGTCAAAACAAAGAAAAACATGCACTGGAAGCAGTGAAATATAGTAAATGTTAAAATGAGGGAATTATGGTTGATTTTCATAACATTTATAAATGTTTAATAATGAGAATGCATTTTATAATGAAAACATTTAAAATTAATTTCTCAACAAGGAGGTTTATGTTATGACAAAATAGGATTTTTAAGTAAAAACAAATTTCAAAGTGAAAAACAACGGTGTGCTTGCTATGGAAATATAGCTTCAACTCAAATAGCCCAGGCCTCTCTTTCAACCAGCTGCTGCCACTAAGACCCTCTATCTCAGAGTCTTGCCATTGCTCAGGTATTCCCTGAATTTGTCTCCCCAAATTCAGATGTGATCAACAGTCTGAGGGCCTGCCAGCTACACGCCAAGCTCCAGCTGCGTGCACTCAATCACAGCTAGTTTTCATTTGATTCTCATGACTCCGACATGAGAGGTAGGTTACTGTCCCTTAACAGATGACGATACTAACAATGTACCTGTATGTCACTGACTTACCATTTTTCAACTTTATGATGTTGCAAAGCGATGTGTGTTCATTAGAACCTGTACTTTGAATTTTGAATTGTGATCTTTTCCTGGGCTAATGATAATCAATACCATCCTGTCTCTCTCTTTTTTAAAAAATATATTTCTTTATTGATTTCAGAGAGGAAGGGAGAAGGAGAGAGAGATAGAAACATCAATGATGAGAGAGAATCATTGATTGGCTGCCTCCTGCACACCCCGCACTGGGGATGGAGCCCGAAACCCAGACATGTGCCCTTAGCCGGAATCAAACCCGGGACCCCTCAGTCTGCAGGCTGACGCTCTATCCACTGAGCCACGCCAGCCAGGGCCCATCCTGTCTCTTAATGCTGGGTAGCAGCAACCAGCTGCAGCTCCCATGAGCTACGTGATCACAAGAGTAAACAACCCATACTATGTTGCTGTGCTTTCAGTTTTTTGTTTGGATGTTGTGTTTTGTGTTTTTGCATTCCATCATGTTTATAATATGCCATCTATGTCTCCTACTTCCTTGTGATAAGAAGAAGAGGAAGGCAATTCTTATTTTGCTTAAGTGCACACAGCAAGTTAAGAGGCAGAGCCAGCATTTGGACCCCTGTCTCCCAACTGCAGCCCCCTAGCTCTTGCCTCCATCCTGGCTATCTTTCCTGGGATCCCAGGAGGTGTGGGAGAGGGCAACAGCAAGAGTCTGGTTCATTCTAGATCAGCTAGAATCGGAGGAAGTGGGATGTGAAAAATGCTTATGAACATAAGTTTTCATACCATTTCCTGGGGCTTATCACCCCCACCTCACCAAGTCTCCATGAATTCCACATTCATTGTAACTTCCTGCTCCAAACTACCAGACAGGAAGACAAGGCCAGTCCCTCCTGGAACACAGCAGAGGCTGTAGGCCCCAACCCTCTTGAGCTACCTCCTCCGCCCCTTCCTGTCCTCCAGGGCGGGCATCTCCCCTTTATTCTTCTTCTGCTATTTTTTTTTTTTTACACTAAAGAACCATCCTTCTTGCCTGCCTCCATCAGAGCAGGAGTGAGGTGAGGACATTCTGTTGACATTGAAGGGAGGTGGCAGGCAGGGGAGGTAGCTTGGGAGAGTTGAGAAAAAGCTGCTGAGTGGACCAAGGGAATGAAGAGTAGTGGTTAAAAGCAGACTCTCTGGAGCCAGATTATGTGGGTTCAGATCCAAGCTCTGGCCTTTTACTGTTTCTGTGTGGCCTCAAGTCAGTGGCTTTGCCTGTTAGATTATCTACCTTGTAGGGTTGATGTGAAAATTGAATTAAGGCATGTGAATGTGAAGTTCCTGGTATATGCCCTCTGCATTTGCTTTTATGATCCCCAAACTAGCTGGGTGACTTGAGCAACTCACTGCCCCTCTCTGACCTTTAGCTTTCTCATTTCTAAAGTACAAGGTTTGGAATAGGTAACCCACATTTCTTTCTCATTTCCAAGTTCTAGATTTTTGACCTCTACTTAATTATTGGAAAATACTCTCAAGTTTCTGTCAAGAGCTGGCTCTATGTAGTGTCATTTAAATGATCCCTTGTCACTCAGTTCCTACCGTTTAACTTTATGCCTTTGGACATTACAAATGTTTTGATTTTTAAGATTGTCTAGTTGAAGTTCAAATTCTCTGAAAGATCCGAACAGCAAAAAAGATGGAGGGATCCTAACAGCAAAACAGGGACAGCAGGCACCCTGGGAAATGGTCTGGCAGAGGGACATGACTGCAACCTGTCACAATCTAAAATTCCCACCTAGTTTGCTCCTTCAGTCCTACAGCTACTTTCTACTTCTTTTGCCTAGACCAGCGGTTCTCAACCTGTGGGTCGCGACCCTTTTGGGGGTCGAATGATCCTTTCACAGGGGTCGCCTAAGACCATCGGAAAACACATATATAATTACATATTGTTTTTGTGATTAATCACTATGCTTTAATTATGTTCAATTTGTCACAATGAAAATACATCCTGCATATCAGATATTTACATTACGATTCATAACAGTAGCAAAATTACAGTTATGAAGTAGCAACGAAAATAATTTTATGGTTGGGGGTCGCCACAACATGAGGAACTGTATTAAAGGGTCGCAGCATTAGGAAGGTTGAGAACCACTGGCCTAGACAGACCCACCTTCCACCTTTCCTCCACAATATTGTTAAGTTGCCACCTTATTTGTTCCTTCCTTTCACTGCCAGACTTTAGGAAAGGATGGTCCACCCCAGCTACCTACATTTCAGGGCCACCTGGCCACCTCCCAGTTCTCCCTGGCCTCTCTGAGGAGCTCCACCCAGTTAAGTCTTTCTCACAATGCTCCATCCTCCCCTTTGGTGTCAGTGGCTGCCACTCTTGTATCTTCTTCAGTCTCCTTTTGACTTTGAAACAGCCTCTAACTCCAGTCTAGTCTAGCTGACCTTTGGCCAACCCCAGGCGTAAGGAGTGATCAGGCTCGGGGAGTCTCATTAGGAGAGATTTGGCCCATCTGGCAAGTCCAAGATTGGCTTGGGAAATATCACCTGCAGAGAGTTGAGACATCAGTAGTCCATTTCCAGAGTGTGTACCATTCTTTCCCCTTCTCCTAAACTCCTTTCCACCCCCCAGAATATACCCTTCTCTTGCCTGTTTTTGAAACAAATGTTTAGGGAGCTGCCCAGGCAGGTTCAAAACACAGCTGCCAGAGCCCCACTCCTCCCCCTGCTGCACTTGCACTTGCTGCTGCTATAAGTAGAATGGGATCTATACCCCCCAGCACTGGAATCAAATTGCAGATACTCAACCCTGCCCTGTGTTTTTGCTTAAGGGAGATTTTAAGCTCCGTGGACTTCCTGGCTCCCCTCCGCGTTTCTCTGTGTCTTTGAGGGCACTGTCTGATGGCCAGGTGTAGGCTGATACATGCCCTTGGCCTGGTGGTCCCAGGGGAACTTGGAGTAGAGCAGCAATTCTTTTACATTTTCAAAGCCAGGATAGGCTAAAAGACCTTTCAGGCATCTCTGTTCTTTCCCAAGGATGAGCCTCTCAAGACCCCACGGTGCTCGTTAAACTGCCTTTGTCAGCATGGATGTGACTGTGGGCTTCACCGCAAAGAGGTTTGTTTTTCTCACATAAGAAATCAGAGGTAGCCACCAGGGCTACACAGCAGTGTCAGGGTGTACCAAACACCTTAAAAGCTTGTGTTTCATCTTTAGTAAGTGGCTCTTCTCGTGGCCTAAAGATGGCATCTCCCAGCATTATATCTGTGTTCTAGGCAAGAAAAAGGGATGAATGGTGAAGGGCAAAAGGCCAAAGTGATCCAGCTGTGATGTCTCCTTTAGCAAGCTTTCCTGCAAACATCCTCTGCTAGCATCTCATTGGCCAGCACCATGCCACCTGGCTGTCTCTATATGCAAAGGAAGCTGTGAGAATTTTAACTGAGGGACTTTAACACCCAACATCAAGTCAGGGTTCTCTCTCTCTCTCTCTTTTTAATCCTCACCCGAAGATATTTTTCCCATTGATTTTTACAGGGAGTGGGAGGTAGAGGGAGCAACAGAGAGAAACACTGATGTGAGAGAGACACATTGATTGGTTGCCTCCCTCATGCAACCGAGGTATATGCCCTTGACCAGTATTGAACCCGGGCCTCTTCAGTCTGTAGGCCAATCCACTGAGCCAAACCAGCTAGGGCAGTGGTTGGCAACTGTGGCTCGAGAGCCACATTCGGCTCTTTGGCCCCTTGAGTGTGGCTCTTCCACAAAATGCCACGTGCGGGTGCGCAGGTACAGTACAATTGAAACTTTCATGGCCCATGTGCAGAAGTCGGTTTTCGGCCTGGGCGAGTCTATTTTGAAGAAGTACTGTTGATATTTGGCTCTGTTGACTAATGAGTTTGCCAACCACTGAGCTAGGGCAAGTCAGGGTTCTCTTAGTGGAAAAAGAAGGCGATATAGATATATTGTAGGTAAGTAGCCCTGTCTGCCATAATTGGGACTCCTCCCATAGTACCCTCCTACCAAGTTCACATTTCCAAATCCCAACTCTACCACTGTAGATCGTCTATGCTCTCTCTATACTTGGACAGTACAGCAGAGTAGTTAAGTCTAGACTCCAGAGTCAGAAATATGTGTTCAAATCTCTGTTCCAAATTCACTAGCTTTCTGGGTTTGGTCCAGTCACTCCGGGCCTGTTTTCACACCTATAAAGTAGGGATAGTAATTGTCTCTACTTCCAGGGCTGTGGTCACGATTAAATGATTTAATAAACATATGGTCCATGGTACATAATAAGAACTCAATAAGTGTTCGCTGTTACTATTTGATTGTTATACAGATCATACTAAAATACATTCTAACACATCATTTAAAAGACTGTG